GGAATGCTAGCTAGCTATGGTAGTGCCCACCTACAATTCCATCACTTGGCAGTCAGATGCAGACGGAGAAGTTTGAGACCAACAAGGCCTATATAATGAGTTCTAGGCTACCCATGGCTGGCTACACAGCTAGAGTTTTTCTCAAATCATCTGATAGTAGAATAAAACCCAATGTTCTACATTTTCTTTAATTCATTATTCCTCCTCTACCTGAGAGCCTTTTAAGAAAGGCTCTGACTATGTCAGACTCTGGTAGACCTCTAAGGAGACAGCTATATCAGGCTCCTGTCAGCATTCACTTCCTGACATCCACATCAGCATCTACCTTTGGTGACTGCACATGGGATGGATATTCAGAGGAGGATGCTCACAGCTAACCATTGAACTGATAAAGGGGTTCCCAACAGAGGGGTTAGAGAGAAGGAGCTGAAGGAGCCGAAAGGGTTTGCGGCCCCATGAGGAGAGCAACAATACCAACCAACCAGAGCTCCCAGGGTCTAAACCACCAGCCTGGGAGCACTTAGGGAGGGACCCATGGCTCCAGCTGTATATGTAAGGGAGGATGGCCTTGTCGGGCATAGGTGGGAGAGGAGATCCTTGGTCCCATGAAGGCTGGACATCTAGTGTGGGGGAATTCGAGGGTGGGGAGGTGGGAGTGGGGGGGCACATCCTCATAGAAGCAGGAGGAGGGTGGATGGGATAGGGGGTTCCTGGGCAGGGGCGAAATGGGGTAAGGGGATAACATCTGAAATGTAAATAAAATATCCAATAAAAAAAAGAAAGGCTCAGTGTATATATGCAAACAACTATACATTTCTGTCCTACCAATGGCAACCAAGGCACTTCTCTTCTGCATCAGAGTTCTCACACCTATGCCCACTTGGATGAGAAAAGCCACTCAGAGAAGTCCAGCCAGGTCTCCATGAAAGTCATGCTCCAGAGTCTCATTTGCTGTTAGCTTTGCTTTGGGAATCCATGCCCATTTGCCCAAACTTAGAGAATATGAGGAGAATCTATTCTACTTTGCCTTTTTGCTTTCTAATCTCCTAGACTGAATGAAAGGACAAAAAGCTGTACTTCAGAGGCAGAATACCTGTTTAACATGTACATGGTCCCTGATTCCATCCTAACACCAAAGTGAAAGCTGTAACAGACACACCTGGGAGTATATATTTTTCCAACATCATACTTAGGTGTGTCTTCTCACACAAACTTAATTCACGAGCAGCCTACCTTCTACAGGCAAAACCGTGGCTAATAGGTGAAGAAAAGAAAAGATTGTAAAAAGAGAATTTTTTTTTAACTTGATAGCCCAGGCAATCTCTGTCTCAATCTTCTAGACCCTGGGATTATGGGTATGTAGCATACCACCAGCGTCAAAAACAAATGAGATGCATTTGGTAAATTATGATATTGTGAAATATACCTTTGCTATTTGTCTCCATTTCCTGGCTTACAACCTTTAAAGCTCTTAGAAGAAATCAATGTCCTTTGATACAGGCATTAATTGACTTTATATCCCCACAGCTTCAGTACGGGACACATCAAGGTTAGATTTACAGGTTAGGTCATTTAGCCTATCTCTCAATCTCAAAAGAGCTGGAGATTGAGCTGACTGTCTGTGGCCAACGAGGTTATAAGTATGCTTATGCAATGAAGTTTCCATAAAAAAACTCGAAGGGCAGGGTTTGAGGAGGATACCGTAGGTTAGCCAGCCCAGAGAATGCTGAGGCTCTGTACCCTCCCTCTCCCTCCCTCCTTCCCCAGCTCTTCATCCTAACATCTACCCTCTTCTCTGCAATGCCATTTATAACATGCCAGTAACAGCAGTGGTACACAGTAGTGTTATCACAGCAAAGAAAAGTATTTCCTTGAAATCTGCGACTCAATCTAGCAAATTCATGTAAACCCAAGGAGGAGGTGCAAGGAACCCTGCCTTATGTCTGGTGGGCCAAGAAGCCCAGGTGAAATAACCTAACTTATGACTTAGGCAGTACTGCAGGACTGATTCCACCTGACGCCATCAGAATAGGTTGTTTTGCTTGTATACACATTCACCGATACGTTCTGCCTCAGAACACACAGGAGGAGAAACCGAGTTTGCTTTTCTCAATATCCTGTCAGCAATGGCTATCTTAACAGGTTTGTCCATCCCAATGGCCCCATTAGCTGTTCATAGAACAAGGAGGGTATTATAAGTTCTGTTAGACCCATCCACCAGGACTACATGCAAACCACTGAGGAGTTCTAACAGAAACACAGACACCACAGATTTCTTTGGAATCAAAAGCAAAGCCAGGTTGACTGCCCCGTGGTTCCAGGTTGGGTGGCAGAGCAGAAGGAAGAGGAGCCAGATGTCACCACTGTAATTCGTTAATATCAGATTCAAACCCAGACTCTGCCACTGTCACTGTGGAGCTATGATGTAAAGCCACTGGGGCTTAACATTGTCTTTTTCCATAACAGGATGTCTCTCCTACCCCTCAATCTTACCACCTGAAAGTCCCACCAGCTGAAAGACATACAACGCAGAATAAGCTGCTGACGGCAGCTGCTATGGCTTTGGGAGCTGGCTGCTCTTTTGTAGCTCTCCTCCAGCTGCCCAGCATAGAGCGGATGTCCCCTTATGCCAGACCTCAACAGGAGTGACTGCTGTTACAAGGGACAGAAGAGAGAGACATGAGAGTGTTTTCCAAGAGCCTATGGCCTGGGGTAGAGAATGCTTTGTGTGTTTAGCTCAAACTGGGTTTCTGAGAGCTTGTATATACTGACTTCCTATCCCCAAAAGGTGGATAGGATTCCTCAATTTTTGTCATTAAAAACTGATAAATCAAAAAAGTAAATATGACTCTCGTGGTGAATGTTGCCTGGATCAATAAGGGAGCACTTCACTTGGGAGCTTCATTGTACTCAGATCTGTAACTGGACAAGGGAAATATTCATAGTCTCTGGACCATTGTTTGAAACTCCAGTAGGCAAAGAGTTAGGTGGGGCAAGCCATTTGAGCTTCCCCACCCCACCCCCCCGAAAATTCTGATTCCTTCAGCCTGGTGTCACTGTGTCTTCAACCTTAATAACCACATCCTGGTGAATCAGATGTAGGAGGTCCTGAGTTGAGACCACCATTGAGAAACACTGGCCATGGGTCTTGTCCTATAGCAGGCAGCAACCTAAATGTGGTACCAGCAAACACACAGCTCTAGGTAGTACCCGAGGCTCACAGACATTCATCAAGAGGGTCTTCTTAGTCGTTTGAGAACTCAGGAAGAACTTATAAATGACACCCTGCATTCTGAAGGGCAAGCCTTGTTCACAGGGAACCCCCAGCAAATGTCTTCAGCAGGTTTGTGATTCGCTATGGCCCACTGAACACAGTAGACATATCGGGGGAGGGGGGATACTCCATACACCAGACAGGAAGGACACTCTCCTTGGGACACTCATAAGCTGTTGCCTGCAGATCACACCCAGTCTACAGTGCCACTCTGCAGAACTCATGCGGTTTCCTGCTCCTCACAATTTAGCATTTGTTAGAGAGAGAAAATGCTGTTATGAAACCCAAATAATGTGCCACTCCGAGGCAGACAGCCAGCTGTTAACAAGAATGCCATGTGACCATCATTTTAACTGCTGTTCACAGCTCAGCTTTCAGGAAGGAGATGTTTAGTAAGATAGAAAATCAGAACCTTCTTCTCAATGGAAAACAAAGTTTGAGGCTCCATGGAGTGAACAGGCTTACACTCAGCCAGTCATACAGTGATAAAAATCTGGGACTTCAATAGAAAGAAAAAAAAAGGGAAGGACAAGAATTTAAAAGACCCTTGCTTTGTTTATTTTAATACAAAATTCATGAAACATTTTGTTATTAACGTCATAAGGGAATTAAATTATTAACCACCGAGTCTGAAAGTACTGCTTCACCAAAAGACAATAGAGATGAGTGAGTCCCTTGGGAGCTGGACCTTTTCTTCTATACTTGCTCACAGGATGACCTCCCCAACTCCCTGCAAATGATAGTTTGCTCCAGGCACACAGTGAATTCCGCTGGAGAGAACGGAAGATCAGGTACTAGAAGGCGTTGAGTTTTCAATTTGCAGGAGGCCTGGGAGATTACTAGGGCACATCTGCTTTTACAGGCCAGTGCTATGCTCTCCCAGTGCCCTCCACCATAGGCTCAAATGAACAGGCTCGAATCTGAAGATTGCCTCCAGAATCAAAGCCAAAAGGACATGCAGAGAAAGCTATATTGCTTTAGTATATAGTTAGGAATTTTTTTTAGGAAGAATATGTAATTAAAGCTTGGAATTCTTAGACTGTAACTCAGGCCAAGGTGGTCACTCAGGGGACCAAGAACCAATAAGCAGAATGACCAAGGTCTACAGTCTACTTCCAGGATGGTCGCTATATTTCACAACAACATGTTATACATGTTAGAGAAAAATGGAAGCGAGAACCAAAAGATTGCCAACATGAAGAACAGGTCAAAAGTTATGAAGAAAATACTATCTTGATCATAAATTACATACTATATACTTTTTTCAATTGACCACAGTGCACCCCATGCATGCATGTTTACAAGTTACATAGGAAGCACTTGTTGAATGTGCTGGAAACTACTGATGATAGCATCAATAATGACTATAGTATTGTATAAGGGTATCACCAGATAGCTAGACCCTCTGTATGACTCATTAATCCCTTATGAATTTGACTAAAATAGACCTACAGACCACACAGATTATTTATTGTTTGTGTGTAGACTTGTGTGGGCACTTGTGTTTTTGTTGTTGCTATTGTTTGTTTTATTTGGTTTTTTTTTTTTTTGCTTGTTTGTTTTGTTTCATTTTCACTAACCACAAGTGTCTTGCCCTGAGGTCTTGTTGCTTAAGCTATGGGGAAAAATTAGCTAAGCATCTTAGTCACTAAAATATCCCAGCACACCAAATAAATACTCCACATGAAATTTAAAGCATGTAAACGCCAACCCAGGGATGACTTACCACAAACCATTCCTGTTTCAAGCTCATTCGTGCAGGCTGGAGTCCACTCTGTTTTGCTCAGGGTCTACTGCAACCTTACTTTTGCCGTTTGAACACAGATCCTTTGATTCTGTTCCAGGACGCTGCAATCTAACAAAACCAAACAGCAAGTCAGAGTGGGAAATGCCACTTCAAGCAGTTGGTGATTATGTAGGGGAAATCCCTGGGTGTTCTCAATGTCTATCTCATAATGTCAAACAAGCGTGTTAATCACCTAAACAAAGCTATCAGACATCCTCTACAGCAGTGCTCTAAAATACTGGAAAGAAAGACAGAAAGAAAGACAGAAAGACAGAAAGGAAGGAGGGAAGGAAGGAAGGAAGGAAGGAAGGAAGGAAGGAAGGAAGGAAGGAAGGAAAAAGAAGAGAGGAAGGAGGGAGGGAAGGAGACACATACACACATGCACACATGCAGAAAGAAAGAGTGAGAGAGAGAGAGAGAGAGAGAGAGAGAGAGAGAGAGAGAGAGAGAGAATATGAATAAAGCTAACCCATGCCGGGAAAGATAGTATTTTCTAATAGGCATGTGCTTGCAAAATATCAAGTTTACCAACTGAATGAAGTGAAGGAAAGATTCTTTAGGTTTGAATAACTACATACAATAACTTCTAGGTACTAAGGGTAAAAAGTAGAGGAAGTTTTTTTTTTTCGTTTTGTTTTTTAAAATTACTCATTCAGCCTGTTACAGTCTGAGACTGCTGTGTGTGATGGTGTACGCCTATAATCCCAGCATTCAGGAGGTAGAGGCAGGAGCATCAGGAGTTCAAGGCCAGCGTAGGCTACACAGAAGGCTTCTGTGTTTAAACATGCCTTCCCCTCAGGTCTTACTATCCTGAAATGTTTAGACATGAACATAATAAGTTAATCTGGCTACTTTCCTGGCTCTTTGTCATGAAAACTTTTTCAAAACTATTTTATTGCTTAGCTATGGGGGAAAATGATTATGCATCTTACTTACAAAAAATATCCCAGCACACCAAATAATTAATTCAGATGAAATTAAAAACATGTAAATGCCAACTCCAATGGGGTGACTTACCCTAAAACATTCCTGTTTTCAAGCTCACTCACGCATGAATGAGCATCCATCTGGCTGACGAGCAAATATTATATTTTTTTTTAATACAGAGCTTTTAGGATAGAACAAAAGACCAATAGCACGCAAGAGAAAGGAAATTTCCATTTTGCACTACACAGGAGTGGTTGATGGGTTTCCCCCTCTACCTGCCTCTTGATAAACTTGATAAATACCATCTCCTCCCAGGATGGAAAGTGCTAATTACTGTACATGGTAGGTATGAAAGGAACAGTAAAGGTATTCATGACTCCTCACCCTGACTGGGAACAGCTGAAGCCTACAGTGGAACCGCCTATCATATGGCCATTCTAGAAAGTTCTTTTCCTTCATGAGCTGCATTTAAAATTCTTTTGTCCCCAGCTAGGGTTCCAGTTCCTCCTGAATCATGGTTACACCCTACTGTTTTGTTTTTTGATAGTGGCCACTTGAGAGTTTGGAGGTTGACTTGAAAGGAGTCTGCACCGCCCCCCTTTAATATTTTAGCTTTGCAGTACTTGTCTCCAGTCTATCTTGAAAGCCTGTGGGAGGGTTGTCACCCAGGTCTGAGGATGGTGGCTACATCAGACTGTAACTGTAGCTCTGGATGTCGGAGGAGAGAACCTGAAGATAGATACTTTATCCCTCCACCGACTTGTATACTAAGACTTAGTATGTTCAGCTAGCATGTAGACTGGAATTAGGGCTGAAGCTGACCCCCCCCCCAAGGAAAGACACAAAGGCTAGGCATGGAGATGTATGGCTGCAGTCCACACAGTCTAAAGGTCATCCCAAATATAAGGCTAGTAGAGTAGTAGTAAGCTGGGGTGGCCAGGGCCACATAGCAAGAGAACAGAAGTCTACCTCAAAACAGTGACAACAGAAAGAAAACAACAAACAACAAAACCCAAGAGGGTCTCAATGACCTATTTTCTTTGCCTCGAACTGGAATAAAAAAATGGTCTCTAACACAGAGTGGAAGCAACCATGGCCAGCACTTCCTCCCCCACCCCACCCCCCAGATCATCACATGAAAGGACCTCTTAACCTATGTCAGCTCCCACGTTTTTGTCTTCCTGTCATGGCTCCCCACAGGCACAGTATAGATGAAATGTGATTCTTCGAAGGCCCAGCAGTTGTCGAGAGTAAAAACAGATATGTTTTTCTTTACCAGTTTCCTTTTCAGAATATAAGGAAGCAAGGCAATGCCCAGTGACCAGATGTAATGCTAAATAAACATTAAGAATCTCAGAAGGGCTTCCGGGATGACCAAGAAAGCTACCATCACATCAACCACTTATAAAATGTAACCATTCATGTACATCTAGGTCATTGGGATAACTAACATTTTTGTTTGTTTTCTTGCATCAGGGTCTCAAGTATTCCTTGAACTTACTATGTAGCTAAGGGTGACCTTGAACTTCTGATCCTGTTCCCTCCACCTGTCTAGTGCTGGGATTATAAGTGTACACTACCTTGTTCAATCTGTGCTGTGCTAAGGATCAAACCCAGGGTATCCTGCTTACTGAGCAAACACTCCCAACAACTGAGCTATATCCCCAGTCCCTAACTGACCCTTTGAAAGACTTTACAGGCTATTGCTTTACAGATCAGTGAAGGTTTTCTAAGAGAACTTCCAGGGGTCACTGGTTAGATTCATGTGGACAATTCCAACAGAAACTGTAGGAATCTTGGTCAACACTCAGTCAAGTGAACCGGCTTCAGTGCCATGCAATGAGTGTCCAGTTTGGAAGTGCATCTGACAGGAAACAGAAATGCCCTTTGATTTTCTAGAGGACATGGATACCCACGGAAGATGCAGTTGTAAGAGCACCTTTCTTTTTTCTGAGCAGTTTTCTTGAACTGTAACTTACCCCCTTGGTGGGGGCAGTATGTAGTAGTAACAGTGACACAAATCAAGAAAAGCCTCCAAGTTCAAAGAAAAACTGTCTTGGGAAAGACAGAATTTGGAGGAGGAAGGAAAGAGGGCCTTTATCTCCAAAGTTATTAGTGGTTGTCAAACTTTTTTTTTCTTGAAACTAAAAATAGTGCCTATTTTCCCTCTCACGGCCACCAACTTTCTACCTGGGTCTTTTAGAATTGGACAGGTTCTCTGCCCCTTCATGTAACTTCTACAATGACTCTCCTACCCGCCCTGGAGAGAGCCATACACATTGTAAAGACAGAGGAAGTGAGTCAGGATGCTGACTAGACTTTGAGTTGAACTCTTTACGTCAATTGACTCATTTATTTCTTTCACTTTTATTTTATTTTGAGATACAGTCTTGCCTGATAGCCCAGGCTGGCCCCTGTCTCCTAAAGTAGCCCAGTGTATCTCTCAAGCACTGGGATTATAGGCATGGAGCACTGCCTTCAGTTCTCTTTGACTCTTAAAGGATATTAAAATCATTTAATGGAATGGAAAGTGGCTTTAAACTAAAGGAGCTCACCAGTATCCTAACGTTTCTATTAAGGCACCGAGCTCAATGTTC